TTGGTGCTAGTTATAATTTGTATAAGATTTTGTATTAATTTTTTAATATGAGATATTATATTTTTAGTTTCATGAGCCAGCTCAAGGCTGCTCAAAGCTACTTATTATGTATTGCGTTGTCTTCTGAAGTATGAGATAATCTTTGTTAGCCAACCTTATACCTATATCAAAAACTATTTAGAAATTATAGTTTATATTTTATATGAAAATTAGATACCAATTACCATTATTTGTATGTTTGAATGAACACTTTGAAGAAATTGAAAAACCAGTAATTCTGTAAGATGACTTTTATAATAATTTTTTATATATTGGACTGTTTTCTAATTCAAAATTCTACAATAAATAGAAAAAAGTTAATAAATATTAAATAAAAAGATAAATATAAAAAAAAAATTATCTATTAAAATTACTATAGACATATCATCGTATTCATCAGCAGATTGTAAAGCATTTTTTGTTTTGCTATGATGCTGCAATAATTAAATATATGTATATTAAAAAAAAAAACAAATAGATGATAATTAAATAAAAATCGTATTAAACAGAAAGTTATATTGAATAAATTATTTCACTGACTATTAGCAAATTGTTTATTTTTCAAATAAGATTGTGGTGAACTATTGGTTTGCAATAATTCTTTTGCTTGGAATGGTGATGGATACAATAGTTTATAACAAAACTAAAGTAATTAAATATACAATATCAATATAAATATTGAGCAGAAACATTGTTTTAAAAAAATTATACAATAAGCTACCCTAGTTTGTGATAATATCGAAGACAATTATTAAATAGAAGAATTAAATTAATCGCATTAAGAAATTATTAATCAAATCACCTTAGACATATCATATTGTAATAGTTGACCGTGAAAGGACGTTAAATATAGAGATGTTAGAGCAAGCATTTCTAAAGCATCATCAGCTAGACATTCTGGAGGTTTACAGGATTTATTTTTATTTCTACCATGGTGCATGATTTTGAGAAAGATAAAAAATATAGAAAATGAAATCGACCTTTGATGTGTAGTTCAAATAAAATATATAAATTATATATCTGATTTTAAATAATAATATATTTGAAGTCTATTTAAAGTAATTAACAAACTCCGCAAAGAAATATATAAATATAAGTTGATCTAATATTTATTTTTATTTTTTTTTTTAGTGCTATTACTATGTCTAACAATATTAAGAAAAAAAAAACCAGGACAGATGAAGTTCCAGAAGGAGAAAAAAAAGATATTATTATTTGTCATTATTGTCTTCAATCTTTTATATGAAGAAGTTGTTACCGAAATCATTTAACAAAACACAAAGATATAATTTATGTAGAAAAAAACCAGCTTCAAATGCTTTTGAAAGAAACTGAAGTTTTGACAAATACTCAGCATATAAGAGAACAAACAACTCTATTTAGTATCTTTTGTAACAATGTTAATGAAGCTGATAGAGATAACAATAGGACTAGTAAAACTAGTAAAAATAATAAAATAATTACTCTTGAACATGTTCAACAAGATTGGAATAATACAGAAATATTTTAGATTGTATCTAATTTTACAATTATATGTAATATAGGCTTATTATACATGTTTTAAGAATTTTTAATATTCAACTTATTTTTTTTTAAATATTCGCATTGTTTTATGTTAATCTAACTTTATTTGTCTAATTATATATAAACAGATAAATTATAGCAAATTAATAGTAAAGAAAATTCTCTAA